CAAGGAAAAAAATTTAGGCCCTTGGCCATTGCCAGATCCATTAATTCCAATTTAAAGATTGATGATCCAGATGATGAGTGATGAGTATATGAGTTTTATTAAAAACCTCTTATACTGATTTGCTAAATCAATCCCATTTATATTATGATTGTAATTCATTATAATATAGAAATCTGCATTGCTTTTTATCAATTATTTTCCAAATATTTTTTAAATTTGGAATTCATTAATAAAAGTCAATTTTGAAATATTTTTCTGACACATTCAACAAAGCTGTCTAACAAATAAGTTGTAAACAGTAGTAATATTATATTATTATTTTTTTCATTCAAAATAAAAAACTTTATTTTAAGAGATAATACACAGAGTATTATAAAGAATATGAGCAAATAATTCAGAGTTTTTCAACTTTTATAAAAGAGAAAGCAGAGTAACAGAATAAATGATTTCACATATTTCAATTTCATACTTTTAAAAATAATGAAATAGAGTAACAGAGATAAAGTAATTGTTTATATAAATTGAATAATCAACTATCTCTTTATTGTTATTCAATTTCAAATACTGCTCAATGCTCTGCTGTTTAATACTCTATTGCTTAATACGCTGCTGCTCAAGTACGGGGCAGTGCAGCAGCCTCCTCAAACTGGGCCTACAACCGCTGCCATGAGCTCCTCAGACAGCACAATGTCGGCCTGAAGTGGGCTCCTGGGCATATGGGGATAGAGGGCAATGAGGAAGCAGACCGCTTGGCTAAGCAGGCAGTCTCATCCACTGCAGCCCCAGCCTATGGTCTCGAGGCCACACCCACAGTCAGTGGGGTCCGCACAGTGGCCAAGCAGCTCAGCCAAGAGGCAAGGCGAAAGTGGTGGAGTGGAGCCTGTGGCAAGCTCTCTGACTGGTACAGGGGCTGGAGTTTCAGCAGGCCGACTGTGGAGTACCAAGTGAAGGCCCCTCCGGAGCTCACCATGCCACGGCATGCCCTTCACCGCTGGCTCGCACTCCGCTCCTCTCATGGGGACTTCTCCTGGTACCACAGGCGTTTCCAGCATGCAGATGCGAGGCTCACCTGTGTCTGTGGACACAACAAGAGCCCAGAACATTTGGTGCTCTGTCGACACTCACAGAGGCACTTTCTTCACTGGCCCAAGAGGCCAGCAGCACGGCCACACAACCGGGCGACAGCTGTTGCCTATCTAGGATCTCTGACCCCTACAGACTTTGTAGAACTGCTGGACTGCACGCAGTTCTACACACGGTACTGCACAAGGTAACGCAGCCGGCTGGCTGCAAACCATCTGACAACCCCCGCAGCAGTTCCACGAGGCCGGCCTGCTGAGTACACCCACGATAGCTAGTGCAACTGCCAGGGACATCACAGTCTATGCAGACAGTACAGATAGCACAACTAGGCTCATCTGTCTCAATTATCTGTGGTGTAATCAGTACGGACTACGTGTCTGACTCAGCTGATATGGTTTTGACTGCCGGCATTGTAGCTACGCGTACTCTGCTTTGTTTTCCTCTCGTTTGCCCTTGTCTCTATCGGCTCAAATGCTTCTTCTTCCTTCTTTTTCTTTGCTCTCTCTGTCATTCTCTGCTCTTTTCCTTCCACAACCTTCTTCAGTGCTCTCCCCTCTCTTTTCCCCAGGGTCTGTCCAGTTCACGTGACTGCAAGTGTTGCAGATGACACAGTCATTCCTTCACTTCTCTCTTTTATTCTT